CACCCCTCACACCCCTCACCCACCTCACCCCCCTCACCCACCCCTCACCAACCCCTCACCCACCCTCACCCACCCTCACACCCCTCACACCCCTCACCCACCTCACCCCCCTCACCCCATCACCCCCCTCACCCACCTCACCCCCCTCACCCACCTAACCCACCTCACCCCCCTCACCCACCTTACCTCCCTCACCCCCTCACCCACCCCTCACCCCCTCACCCCCCTCACCCACCCCTCACCCCCCTCACCCACCTCACCCCCCTCACCCCATCACCCCCCTCACCCACCTCACCCACCTCACCCTCCTCACCCCCCTCACCCCCCTCACCCAGCTCACCCCCCTCACCCCCTCACCCCCCTCACCCACCCCTCACCCCCCTCACCCACCTCACCCCCCTCACCCCATCACCCCCCTCACCCCCCTCACCCACCTCACCCCCCTCACCCCCCTCACCCCCCTCACCCAGCTCACCCACGCAAGGACCCCCCCCCCCCCCCGTGTTGGGACAAGCAGCAGCGCCTGGTACACGAGGAGGGTGCTGGGTGGCCAGCACCACGCTCCCCCGACTGCCGACGTTCACACATTGCACCAAGTACTAATTTGAGGCTGAGTCTACCTAGGGGAGGCCCAGGACCCGCTATACGCCCACTCCCACATACCCCCCCCCCCCACCGCACCTACACACTGCATCAACCTCGTTAGATCTCAGAAAGCTGAGCAGCGCTGCGATTGGTGGCATCCACCATGCATAACAGGTGGTATAGGCTGCTGCGAGGCTATTGTTTGTTGTCCGCAGAATGAATCGTTGTACTGCACTCTTATGCTCCCACCTCTACGCTCACCGCCTTCGCCAAACCCGCAGATACACTTGGTCAAATAACAGGCCACCCTCTAGAAGTGAATTTACAAAGGGCTGTGTGTTATTAGAATGACAACATAACATTATTAAACGGTAATTGTGATTAATGAAACTAAATATGAAAAAATACGATTGTGATTATCGCCAAACTAGCTACCCGCTCCTCTATCTATCCACCTACCCACTCCTCCATATATCCACCTACCCACTCCATCTATTCACCTACCTACCCACTCCTCTATCTATCCACCTACCCACCCCTCGAGCTGTCTACACATCACGCCCATCGCGTTCAGAAACGTCGTCACGTGCTGGTAATGCCAGCTCGTATCCTCGCAGAACGCGGGGGCGGCGGGGGGGGGTATGCGATCGAAATCCGCGGAAGCCGTCTCCTCTCAAGCAAAACGTCTTTGGCTTGGCCACCTTTAAATTTGACAGCGCGTGGCCCTGCCACGCCGCCACCGGGGCAATGAGAGACGGAGACGATTGACGAGGCGAGTGCGGGCGAGGAACAGGACAGAAACACGTCCCGGGGGCACGTACACTCAGGAGACGGATCTACGAAATCAGTTCGTGCGCGGATTGACAAATAAATATGAGCTCAAAGTGATTTCCTGCTGAACTTTTTCTTTTTAGCATCAAGGATGTGAACTCGCGACCTTTCCGATTGCGAGCCGCTTGCTCTGCCGGCGAGCCAGGATCGCGTCGACGCAGCGGCCCAAATTTGGCGATGGCCTCCATCCAGCAGCGGATTGACCATGGCCGCAGAGGCCTGTGACGGTGATGACGATGAAGCGCGCGAGGCCACGCGAGTGGAGGAGGAATCGCCGCGGATTTGCAACATCGCTGCCACCCACCCCGCCGACAACAAACATCGCCACCCATCGCCACCCATCATCTCTCCACCACGTGCGCACACGCGCGCGCGCAATCCATTCCGTGTCACGCGGAGAGGAAACAGGCGGACTGAGGGACAGTGAAACTGACTGGGTGAGGCTGACTGACATTGCGATAGACTCACAACAGATACCGAAGCAGACTGACTGACTGCCTGCTCTAGTCAGACTGACTCACGGACTAACAGTGAGACTGACAGACAGTGAGACCGACTAACAGTGAGACTGACAGACAATGAGACCGACTGACAGTGAGACTGACAGACAGTGAGACCGACTGATAGTGAGACTGACAGACAGTGAGACCGACTGACGGTGAGACTGACAGACGGTGAGACTGACAGACAGTGAGACTGACAGACAGTGAGACCGACTGACGGTGAGACTGACAGACGGTGAGACCGACTGACGGTGAGACCGACTGACGGTGAGACTGACAGACAGTGAGACTGACAGACAGTGAGACTGACAGACAGTGAGACCGACTGACGGTGAGACCGACTGACGGTGAGACCGACTAACGGTGAGACCGACTGACGGTGAGACCGACTGACAGTGAGACTGACAGACAGTGAGACCAACAGACAGTGAGACCGACTGACGGTGAGACTGACAGACGGTGAGACTGACAGACGGTGAGACCGACTGACAGTGAGACTGACAGACAGTGAGACCGACAGACGGTGAGACTGACAGACGGTGAGACCGACTGACAGTGAGACTGACAGACAGTGAGACCGACAGACAGTGAGACTGACAGTGAGACTGACAGACAGTGAGACTGACAGACGGTGAGACCGACTGACAGTGAGACTGACAGACGGTGAGACCGACTGACGGTGAGACCGACTGACGGTGAGACTGACAGACAGTGAGACCGACAGACAGTGAGACTGACAGTGAGACTGACAGACAGTGAGACTGACAGACGGTGAGACCGACTGACAGTGAGACTGACAGACGGTGAGACTGACTGATGGTGAGACTGACAGACAGTGAGACCGACTGACGGTGAGGCCGACTGACAGTGAGACCGACTGACGGTGAGACTGACAGACGGTGAGACTGACAGACGGTGAGACTGACAGACAGTGAGACCGACTGACGGTGAGACTGACTGACGGTGAGACTGACTAACAGTGAGACTGACAGACAGTGAGACTGACAGACGGTGAGACCGACTGACGGACAGAAACACGGATTGGTTGTGAGACTCACTCAGAGGCAGACAGACAGACAGACGGACTGACAGCGTTACTAAGAGACAGACAGACAGACTGACAGCGAGACTGACTAAGAGGCAGACGGACAACACGGACTGACTAAGAGGCAGACAGACAGAGACATGCAGCCACTTTTAGACCCCGCCACATATACCACCCGCCCGTAATGTTGTTACGACTGTGCGTGTGCTTTAAAAACTATTTTACTGCATTTCACGATTGTGTTATTTGTTATCACAAGGCACATTATTTTTACTATCTTCATACTGCAGCATCCCAGGGCATCCGTACGGCATACATTTATATTTTTATTTGCATAAATAAACTGAGATTGACAGCGAGACCGACCGAGTAAATATATAAATATGGGCCAACAGAAATATATTTATACATTTGTGTACACGTATAAATATATATTTTGAAACAACCACGGGCGCGTATTTCTATATTTATGTTCTGCCAATATATATATTTCTACAAATAAAATAAATATATAAGTATACATCCATGTTTACTTGTATACACTGTGTATCCATAATAGAGGTGTTTTGGGTGAGATCGCATAAATATGAATGTGTCGTTAAACCCGCCACCACCACCACCACCCGACACAGCCAATCAGTGAGGGCTTCGTCGCAGCAACAAACGTGGCCATTTCGTGACAAGTACGCCACTCGCCGGCTATGGGTCGGCGACTAAAAACCCCACGACAACATTCACATGTCGAGCAGACGTGACGTTTCTCCGGTGATTGCAACCACCGACATCATCAGGCGGCGGGCCGGAGTTGTGGAGAAAGCCTACGCGTTAAACTATAGTTACGTGTCACGAGCAGTGCCGGAGGAAGCTAGCGCGGGGCCTGCAGCACATGTTGTTATAAAGCGGCCCTAAATTTTATTTAAAAAAAAACAGATAAATATTAAAACACGAATGTTTAACTTGCATGGTAAAGTAATTGTACTTTTTTCATTTCATATACAGCCAGGTAATACGACGAATCGCTAACCTTAAACACCCAGTCGTTCGTAAAAGTCGAAGGCGGTATAGTACTATAGTAATAGAGCAAGTGCAGAATCACTGAACCGGAATTGATAGCTTGAAAGCCTTCAGCGCGTGGACCTTGAAAGTGCGGGGCCCGTAGCTACTACATATGTCGTAGCTACAACACATGTAGCTACTACACATGTAGCTACTACACATGTAGCTATTACACAAGTAGCTACTTTTGCTCCGACGATGATCCGGCACTGTTCATGAGACCCTCTTTCTGCGAGTATCAAAAGATATCCCGTTATATTGCTGCTGTCCCCGAGCTAGAGATGCTTCCATGCGTGCATTGGCTCTGTTAGTGTTCGCCTTTTGGGGTTGTTCTCTTTGCCTGATGCTGGTGAGACAAGGTAAGGAAGAATGCTGCTGCTAACTCCGGTGGAGGAAAATCAGTTTCGACGACAATGCCCTTATATAATAACACCGTGTAACAAAAACAAAATTTGTCCCTGGGTAGTAAGTGTTATTTCCTAATTGCTTATGCCTCAAAAGTACAGAAAATGGCTATTATTCCCCAACAACTTTGCTTCTGTGACCGTGACAGTGATATTTTGAAATGTACCTATTTTCATAGAGAAAACGTGTGCATTTGTGCTCATTCCTTCACGTAAAGTTCTGGTCACAAAAGCAAAGTTTGTGGGGAATAATATCCATTTTCTATACTTTTTAGGCATAAGCGATTAAAAAATAACACTTACTATCCAGGGACAAAAATCATGTTACATCGTGAATTGTCAGGCCATGTTGATTTGTTTTCGTGTTCACCACGAGTACCGCGTGCGGTCAATGCAGACTCCACTCCTTGCAAGAGGTATCACTTTGCTGCTTTGAACATCTTGACCCAACCTGTTTTTCATCGCCAGCGTGGGTAAACACCGACTCATTCATTTTTCAAAATATTTTTAACATTTACGTGCTCTTACTACCCCGCGTGTCCGGGGTGGGGGGGGGGGGTGGGGGGGTGGCCTCACCGGGGCATGGAGGTGGCGGGCACTCCGCCGTGGGTCACGTGGTAGGAGGGGCCCTCGGTGCTGAAGATGAAGACGACCTTGGGTCCCCTGCTGAAGCCCACGCGGGCCGGCACCTCGGAGCGGTCCCCGCGGGCTTCCTTTGGCGCGGTGCCCGACACACTGAGCCCCCCCTCGGGGTAGAGGAACACGGCGTACGTGTCCTCCTTGTCAGACACGATCGCCGCTTGGAAGGTGTTCACCTGGGGGAGGGGCGGGGGGTCGGAGCGGGGGGGGTTGAGGTTGAGCCAGTCAAGCAATCGACTCGCCCTAAACTTTTGCAACCAAGGCTTCGGTGCTAGCACGTACCCAACCAGCCACTCGCACTTCAGCCATAATCCAACCACCCTCCAGCGTTAGCCCGAACCCTGAGCCAACCATCCACTGGCTCTGAAGCCCTAATTAAAGCAGCCTACCAGCGCTATCATCCTAACACGAACCTAACCAGCCACTAACGCTGTAACTCCAACTCTAACCCAGGCAGTCAACTGAGCGTAAGTAATCTCGGTTGACTGGCTGACCTCGTGGAGGGTAGGCGTGGGGCATGGGGGATGGAACTGGTTGTTGATCAAGGTGTCTCAGGGTCACAGGTGGGTCTTCCCAAGGGTGGGGGGGGGGGGGGTGTAGAGGGGGTGTAGCGGGGGGCGGGGGACATTCTTCAAATGTCAGTCTTTTGAACTCAGTCCCTAAGTTAATAAAATGAAACATTCAACGTTTTATATTCGCTGGTAAATATCAATAAAACATAACTTTTTGGTGCGGGGGGGGGGTCTCAAGAGAGGCTCGGTGGGGGGCGATGGAACGTGGGGAGGGGGGGGGGGCGATTGCCTCCCGTTGCACTCCCCCCCCCACCCTCGGGATAGTCGCCATCGCCACGGGGCGACGCTGGGCGGGAATCCTACAGCGCGTGAGCGGTTCCTGTTCCTTCTCCTAGGATGTCTCTCAGCACGTGGTGTTGGTGGTGGTGGTAGGGGTGATGGGGGGGAGGATCGGTGGTGGATGTGTGGGCTACACAGCGCGAATATGTTCCACAGCGGGGCTACAAAGCCTGCAGAATCAGAATCTTTATTTATGCTCGAGGAGGAGGAATCCGATGAGCTATGAAGTGGCGAGCAGGTCTCTGGCCTGGAGTCGGCGTGGGAGCGAATTGTGATCAACGTCACGATCGGCGTCCTTCTTAATCGTCGTCGTCATTGGAATTAATTTCATCGTCGTCACATCGACGTCGTCATCGTCCTCATATCGTCGTCATCATTGTCGTCATGTCATCGTCGTCATATCGACGTCATATCGTCGTCATGATTGTCGTCAGATCGTCGTCGTCATCATATCGTCGTCACATCGTCGTCATGTCATCGTCGTCATATCGACGTCATATCGTCGTCATCATTGTCGTCAGATCGTCGTCACATCGTCGTCGTCATCACTGTCGTCACCGTATATTTTATCGTCGTTATCGTGATCATTGCCATTGCGATCACCGTTCATGTCACCGTCATCATAGTCGTCATAGTCGTCGTCGTCGCCATCATCAGCGTTATTATGACAGCTAGCGGCGTCATCATCTCCACCATCACTGCCATCGTTCCGACCTCCCACGGCGCCGATGGGTGCAGTTAAACCGCTTCGGGCGTGACCGGGGAGTGTGCGTGCGCTGCGCGCGCGCGCGCGTGTTTGCTGCTTCGGAACATCGATGGAGCCTGGCTAGGAGACCACACCACGCACTTGGGGAGTGCGTCAAGGGCGAGCCGTGCGGACTGGTGGCCCTGCACGTGCTGGAGGAGGAGGCTTTAAAGTGGCGCTGTGGCTAAGTGCAGCGCGCGCTGGCCGTGCACTCAAAGATCATTTATTTATTCACCGTAAATGTATCGGGTGTTTTGACCGTGGGAAGTTGCGCGCAACAGCATTTGGCTGAATTAAACAAATATTTCCATCATCGTCATTATCATCGCCCTGAAGCCATCACCTAGCCCTGGGCTGGCTTCCTAATCTCGTCCACTGCGCTTCTCTCTCTCTTTCACCCAATCCCCCCACCCCTCCCGTGTCCGACAGAGTCACTCCAACACGATCCTTATTTTTGTCTCCGAATCTAACGAAATCACTCCACATCCATTCCTCAGCAACCCCCCCCCGCCCCCCACATTTCTCTCCCCCCCCCACCTCCGTCCCTCCCTCTCCCCTCTACCACCCCAGCCGCATCCTCCCTTTGGACAGAGACGCTCAACTGCAGAATCAGAAACGCATGAGTTAAATTCTTGGTCAGCGTCCCACCCAGCACCGAAATCCTCAGCAGCAGCAGCAGCATCTGCAGCAGCGTCATCACCATCGTGATTAGCGACAGCATCGTCATCAGCCATGGTCAATCCACTGCTGGATGAGAGCCTTCCCAAGCTGCCGCCGCCACCTCTCACGATCCTGCGGTGCGACAATCCATCCAGCGACCTGCACATGCCCCATCTCTCATCGGCGGACGTCCCCTCGGACGCGTCCCGTCCCTTGGCCTTCACTCCGTTGTGAGTCTCGACCATCGGCCGTCCGTCATCCCCTTCCACCGAACGATAAGCCCTGCCCGAGCCCCGTTTCAATTCCGTCGTTCAACCGGGCGTGCCTTCTCCAATCCGCACGCTCCCCTCTCCGCCTCTCCGCCTCTCCATGCGAATTCCACCGGGAGCAGAACCGGAAGAAGAACCGACGACGACGTGCACACGTACGTCGTCGGAACGGGAAAGGGAGTTTAACGGGACAATCGGACGCGCGCGTCGCGGATTTTAAGGATTTCCCAGGGGTAACGAACCGCGCTTATGATGGTGCTAGCTGGTCCAGGGTTGGCGTTGCCCTCCGTCCACCCCCATTCCCCTCCCCTCCGCGGGCTGCCCGACAGACGACGCTGTCATGGCTATGGATTGGTGACGGGCGCCAGGAGGCACGAGGAATCCATGGAGCGCACGTGCTGTCGGCCGTGAGAATTAGCCAATGGGAAGGCATCGATTGGCAGCGCCCGTTGTCGTTACGTACGCGTTGATTGCCTTTTAAAGAGTAGGGGGCAAAAAAACGTCTCTGCGTGGTCGTCAAGTCAGTGGTGGAAATTCCACATTCCCATGGCGGGGATGTGTTTTTGTACCAGACGTGTAACGATTCCCCCCCCCCTACTCAACTCACCCTCAACTAAGGAGACAAAGCCACAGACCGCCATCCCCTTCTGCAGTGATTCGACAAATTTCCGTGACCAACTGACTCCACCTTACTACAACGCAGTCAATGTAAGCCGACGGGTTTCTATGTGAGTCATTTCGTGACCGGACCAAAACCACACAACCCGGATTTCACGAACCCGCGACCTTCGACTGTGCCGGCTCAGTGACCCGCTGACCCCTTGACCCCATCCGGCCACTTCCTGACCAGACTGAGACCCGTCTACTCACTACGCCGGTGGCTGTGCGCACGCTGGGCGAGAGGCCATCAACTTAACGGACCCGGATTCGAATCCATATGTTGGCGTTGGTATTGGCCGCCAAGCGGTCCGTGACCGACAGACGCTGGGTCACGGGGTGGGGGTAGGCGTGGGGGGTATGGGTGGGGGGCTGGAGGGTGGAGGGGGCAGCCGGGCGGTGCTGGGGGGAGCAGGGAGAAGAGGCAAGGGCGCGGGGAGGGGAGGGGGGCTTATTAACGCCGTTTCCCGTCGGCAAAGACAAAGTGACATTTCATTTGGCCGTGGGTGCCGGGGAAAGAGAGAGAGCGAGAGTGCTGCTGCTGCTGCTGCGGCTGCTGCGGCTGCTGCTGCGGCTGCTGCGGCTGCTGCTGCTGCTGCTGCTGCGGCTGCTGCTGCGGCTGCTGCGGCTGCTGCTGCGGCTGCTGCTGCTGCTGCGGCTGCTGCGGCTGCTGCGGCTGCTGCGGCTGCGGCTGCTGCTGCTGCTGCTGCTCTAACTGCGGCAGGGGTAGCCGCAGCGTCGACGTCGCCCGGCTCTGACCGGTGCCGGTATCGACGCGCCCTAATCAACACCGCGGAAAGGGCGCGTCAAGCGGGGAAGGAGAACACTGGAGGGGGGGGGGGGGGGCGGGGGCGGTGGGAGGGGGGCTCGAAGCATCTCTGATGGAACCGAGCGTTCGTCAGAGAGACGACAGAGAGAGAGAGAGAAGAGAGAGCGGTGGGGAGGGAGAGAGAGAGAAGAATGTGCACTGTCGGCACCGATAGATCGGCCGAGTTTGGACGGGCTGAGCCGAGACACGGGATACGCAGCCCGGGGGGGGGGGGGGGTGGAGGTTGTTTGTGACGTGGAGGTTGTTTGTGACGTGGAGGTTGTTTGTGACGTGGAGGTTGTTTGTGACGTGGAGGTTGTTTGTGACGTGGAGGTTGTTTGTGACGTGGAGGTTGTTTGTGACGTGGAGGTTGTTTGTGACGTGGAGGTTGTTTGTGACGTGGAGGTTGTTTGTGACGTGGAGGTTGTTTGTGACGTGGAGGTTGTTTGTGACGTGGAGGTTGTTTGTGACGTGGAGGTTGTTTGTGACGTGGAGGTTGTTTGTGACGTGGAGGTTGTTTGTGACGTGGCGATTTGTGCTGCCCCTCTCCCGCGGAACCGCCGGCACCCACCTGCCCGGGGTTGGCGTGCACCGCTACCCGGTCCCACGTGGCCAGGAATCCGGCGATCGGAGCGAAATTTCCGGCCGCCGGAAACGCCCGGCGGACGTGGGCGGCCGCGGCATCGAGGACGGCGCGGCCGGCACCGGCGTCGTCGTCGTCATCTCCTCGGCTCCTCCCGTCCAGCGCGCGGAAGAAGACGTTCCCCCCGGCGTGGCCTGGCGGCCCCCCGTTCAGCTCTTCGGTCTCGAGGTCGGCGAGGAAGGGGGCGATGACCCCGAACTTCGTGGGCAGCGGCCCGTCCACGTAGGAGCCCTCCTCCGGCACGTCGTGCGGGGTCACGAAGCCGTTCACGCTCACCTGCCGGTCCGGGGGGGGAAGGGGGGTGGTGGGGGGCAGGGAGGGTAAGGGAGGGGTAAAGGGTGGTAGCGGGAGGGGAGGGGGGTGGGACGTATGATGAATATTCGGTCGAACTTCTTTCGCACCGTACGTAGCCAACGGCGCCAATCGTAGCTGCAGCTGAAAGGGCCAACAACTAAACACAAATAGCAGTTCTAAAAAATATCGCTTTCAATCGAGATGCCCTCTGAACCCGTCGACCCGAGTTCGAATCCCGCTCAAAGCCACCAACACCAGTGATCATTATCTGAACTAGTTCTGGGCCTCCCCTAGGTAGACTCAGCCTCGCACGACTACTTGGTGCGGTGTGTTGTAAACATCACCACTAGGGAGACAAAGGCGGCCGGGCGTGGTGTTGGCCACCCACCTCCCTCGTGTGCCATGCTGGCCTTCATAGGTGATCGCTAACAGCACTTGCCCCAACTTTCTGTTATGGCTATATGGGTGACCTTTGTCTTTGGGGTGAGGGGGGGTGAGGGGGGGGGTGAGGGACAGGGCTATTCGCTCGACAATTATGTCGTTTGTTTGGCCGTTTAGCTGATCTGTTATTCCGACATTCGTTTGGTCAGCCAATCATTCACTCAGTTGCAGATAGAGTCATTCGATCATTCGGTCATTCATTCGGCAGTCTATTTTTTTCCATTTCTTTGGTCCATCCAACTGATCGGGCGCTCATTCATTCCCTTGGTCCATTCGTTCACTCATGCTTCGACCACGCTGGTCAGTGCGGGGAGGGGAGCACAGAGGTGGGGGCATAGAATTAAAGTAGGGAGTGAAGTGCTTCTGCCCTGCCCCTTCGCTGCCCACAGCCTAGCCCCGGGGGACAGCCCATAGCACCTTGCAATGCACGATCATCGAGCCTCAACAACTGCTAAGCGTACGGAGGTGCGCGATGTTCCAGGTGGACTCTGATCGTCGGTCGACGGCTCTGGCCACGGCGGTTGGGTGGACGGCAGGTTCTGTGAACACTCGTGGGACGTCGCGCGAGATCGTCAAAAAGAGCTTCGCGGCTCATCGGGTTTCTCCAGCCTCAATCGAGATTCGTGACCTCGGGGTCGTGAATGTCACGCGAGCGCTGACCCAGCGCCCATCGAGGTGCAGCGAGCGCCTCGGTTTGGTTTCTTCTCACGAGCGATCGTTGCCATCCATTGCAAACTAAGAATCACATTTTCACATTATGCCTTCCTACAAAATAATAATATTAATAACTCTTTGTGTTTAACACCTCCGCGGATTTCCATTCCGTTATTAGTTCCATACGATTATGGGTGAGCGCGCGAGCGCGCGTGCGTATGTGTGTGTGTGTGTGCGGTTTCGAAGAGCACCTAGCCTGGCACGAGCGCCGTGGCGACGTCAACCGGCACGTAGCGACGAGTGGCGGTTGACGTCGTGCGAGGGAGCGGTCGTGCAAGTGACCTGCGCACCTGCACTGCGAACCCGGCGGACCCGAGTTCGATTCCCGCTCGCGGCCCAACTTCTGTGACGACTGAGCCAGGCCCTGTCCTTAGGTTAGCATTGGGGAGACAAATACGGCCGGGCGGGCGTGGTGCTGGCCACTCCATGCCCCTCTGACAAATTAGTCCGATGTGTGAACGTCGCCACTGGGTAGACAATTTTAGTCCGATGTGGTAAACATCGCCACTGGGGAGACAAAGGCGGTCGGTCTTGGTGCTGGCCACCCACCCCCTCGTGTGCCGTTCCGGCCTTCATCGGTGCTCGCGAACAACACTTGCCCCAACAGTCTGCTAAAGGCTATACGGGGGATATTTGTATTGTGTGTGTGTGTGTGCACGCTATGTGGGTTAAGCGATGCGGGCAGGTGTGAGACATTTTATCCACGAAAGTTGCCATCAATAACGATTTGCGTACAAATTGGGCTCGGATTTAATGCGTCGCAAACAAATCAGAACTTCACTACGGTTAAATAATGCAACAGGATAATCTGTTTGTAAACTATTATTGGGATTTTGTTGCTGCTATAACGCACCGCGACGTTGCATACCCTCCACAAATTACCGCTATTCTGCAAGTTCGTCAATTACACCGTGGCCCTGAAGGGAAAACAAAACAATACACTATATATAAACTATACTCTTTGATTATTTCGGTAAAGTCACGTAGTTAAAAATACAATAAAACAAATCACGACGTTTCGATTGCAACACAAGCAACCTTCAAACAATTTTCTGAAGTGGGCGAGAGAGCTGCCGTAGCAGCTCTCTCGCCCACTTCAGCAATTTTTTCCTTGCTGTGGTTCTTCCCACCTGATGAAGGTCGCTTGTGTTGCAATCGAAACGTCTTGATTTGTTTTATTTAATTTTTCTACCTACGTAGACCCAAATAGTATGGATTCCTGCAGTCACGAAAGCTTCAAATCAAGATATATATAAACTATACTCTTTGGTTTTATTCGGTAAAGTCATGTAGGTAAAAAATAAAATAACAAAAAATCACGACGTTTCGGCCACAACACAAGTGGCCTTCATCAGGTGAAGGGACCGCACTGTCCAGAGGACAGCGCTGGAGTGAACACAGCCAAGCCCAGACCGCGTCCTTCAAGCTGTGTGGGAGGAAACAAAGCGCCTTGACAAAAGAGTTAGCATAAAATGTAGCATGTAATTGGGGGATTAGCATGATGCACGTAGAGGGCACATGTTCAGCCCGGCGAAGGGTGGGGAGGGGAGTTTACATAATGTTGGTGTGAAGGGAAAATAAGCAGCTGTGAAAGTTTGAGATTCCACTACTTGAAAAAAAGATACTGTACCATTGAAAATTAGTTTAATGTTTGGTATGATTTAGAACATCTTTTCAGTGATTGCTTAATTTGAAATCATCCTCTTGGTTGAAATTGTGTCTGTGTTTGTAAATCTGAATTGCCTCGTGGACACGAAAGCTTCAAATCTAGAATATAGATAAGCTGTATATATAATATACTGTAATGTTATTACTGAATTATTACTGTATTTTAAAAGGGCGACGTTTCAGGCAATGACGCTTCTTCGTAACACTTGTTTTAATGCGTTATGAAGGAAGTGCCATTCCCCAAAACGTCGCCTATTTAATATTTTCCTTTTTTATAACAAAGATTCTCCCGGATAGCCTTTAAACAGACTGTTGGGGCAAGTGCTGTTTGCGAGCACCTATGGAGGCCGGAACGGCACACGAGAGGATGGGTGGCCAGCACAACGCCCGGCCGCCTTTGTCTCCCCAGCAGCGATGTCTTATACACCGCACCAGCCACTCATTGGGAGGTCGGCTCAGCCTCAAGATAGTACCTGATGCGGGGTGTAAAACATCCCCTTTAGGGAAGACAAAGGCGGCCGGGCGTGGTGTTTGGCCACGCCACCCCCTTGTGTGCCGTGCCGCTAACAGCACTTGCCCCAGCAGTCTGTTAAAAGGCTATCCGGGGGCTATTTGTCTTTGTATTGAAATGGAAAGCATGTAAAAAATAGGCGAAGTTTCGGGCAATGGCCCTTCCTTCATAACACGTAAAAAAAGTGTTATGAAGAAGCGTCATTACCCGAAACGTCACCGTGTCGACGCGTGCCGTGCCCCCCTTCGCCTCGGCGCCGCTCGCCAACAGCACTTACCCCCCCCCCGCCGCGCGAGTCCGTCTAAAGGCTACACAGGTGATCTTTGCCTTTGGTGTTGTGGCGTCTGGCGGAGGAGGACTGAGTAATGGACGCGGGGTTTAATCCGAGCGTCCGCGATCGTCGCACGCCCTTCGATGCCGCCAATGAACCACCGCCGACCGTCTCAGAGGCCGGGATGCCCTCTTTGGAAGGCGTCGCCTGAATGGCCCCTCGTGAGATTGGTGGGCAGGCGGGCGGCACGCCGGGCGCGACGTCGGGGAGGAGTTGGCGGTCGCGTTTCCGATTGCGGCGTTTTGGAGGAGGAGGGGGGGGGGTGGTTGGGGGGGGGTCTCCCGGTGCAAGGAATTTAATTTGGGACGAGGAAAAAGTAAGGGGGGGCGGGGAGGGGTGTCACTGCCTAATGCCCCCCCCCCCAATGTCCCCCCCCACCCACCCCACCACTGCCCCTCCACATTTTGGCCATCTCGTGGGCAGTTGCATCGCCTGCACCCTCAAAGGCTGCTGCTGCGGGTGGTGGTGGTGGTCGTGTGGGGAGCGGTAGTGTAGTGGTTAGCGCGAGCCGAGTTCGAGTCAACACCAGCGGGGATTGTCTGAACCCGGTCCTGGGCCTTCCCTAGGTCGACTCGGCCTCAAATTAGTCCGATGTGTAAACATCGCCACTGGGGGAGAACAAAGGCGGTCGGGCGTGGTGCTGGCCACCCATCCCCTCGTGTGCCGTAATAGGTGCTCCCTAACAACGCTTGCCCCTGCAGTCTGTTAAGGCTATACGGAGGGGGGGGGGGGGGGTCTTTGTCTTTGGTGGTGGTAGTGTAATGACAAGTGGTCATAAATTAAAATTGCGAAACTTTGTAATGAGGTGTAGGGCGAGCGGATTGTGGATTGCGAGGGAGGTGGAGGGGTGGGTGGTTGAGTGATCCAGTCATGCAAACGCTAATCTCGAACCCAACCAGCCACGTAACCAACACTAAGCCCTAACCCAAGCCACGAGTGTTAAGCCTCTAAACCCGAACCAGCCAGTCGACTGGGCATATATGGGCAGAACGCTCCATTCAGTGTCATCATGCTGCACGCGTAAATATACTCGGGATATATTTTAGACCATCGCCTGTTGGCATGCAGCCCCCCCCCCCCCCCCCCCCCCAGTGTGATCCAGCATCGCGTGTTGACGCAAGCAAAACGATGGGGGGGTGAGTTTGACATTCTGGTTCTCATCACCAGAGTGAGGATTGTAAGGAGAAAATGCTTCTGGGTTGCCAGATATTGTTGGCCAAAGCACTCCCTCAAAACCAGTGGTTCTTAACCTGTGCTGCAAGCTTTGGTTCTCAATAGTAATTTGTTTTTTTTAATTTCTATAATGTTAAAAATTAC